GCTCGACCTTCCCAAGCGACTTCGCTTCGCTCTATGGGCTCTTGAAAAGTTCCAAGAAGATCCAACGTTTTCGAGGCAAATTTTGTTTAGCGATGAGGCCCATTTCTGGCTCAATAGGTATGTAAACAAACAAAATTGCCGCATTTGGGCAGAAGAGCAACCTGAAGAAATTCAAGAACTGCCAGAAAAAACAACGGTTTGGTGTGGTTTGTGGGCCGGTGGAATCATCGGTCCATATTTCTTGAAAAATGATGCCGGTGCGAACGTAACCTTGATGGTTACGTTCGCACCGGCATGGCGACCGTTATAGTGCCATGATAACCGACTATTTGATGCCTGAATTTGAAGCTCGTGATCTCCGCGCCATTTGGTTTCAGCATGACGGCGCCACTTCCTACACATCGCATCAATAAATGGATTTATTGAGAGAACATTTCGGTGAGCACATAATTTCACGTTTTGGGCCGGTCGATTGGCCACCAAGATCGTGTTATATCACACCGTTAGACTTTTTCCTGTGGGGATATATAAAGTCTAGTTTATTCGGACAAACCCGCTTCGATTCAGGCCTTGGAGGAAAACATCACGCGTGTCATTCGCCAGTTACCAGTCGAAATGCTCGAACGAGTCATCGAAAATTGGACTCAACGGATGGACCATCTGCGACGTAGCAACGGCCAACATTTGATAGACATAATCTTCTAAAAATAAATGCCAAAGAATGTTCTTTCAAATGATAATAAACATTCTCCATTAATTTTGAATATTCTGTGTTTTTTTCTTTAAAAAAGTAGGGAACCTCGAAATGGATCACGCCTTATGATGTAATAAACAATAAAATTGACTGTCCATATCTTGTCTCGCAATACTACATTGTTACAGACTCCTTGGCATCATTCAAATTACTGCCGAATCACTCTTCTTTCACGACTCGCTCGTACGTATAATGAACAGTTTGGACACTTGACACACACAATTGACTTCTTTGAAAAATCTAAATTCATGTTTAAAGATGACATCAAGGAAACGTTATGAACTAGAGCAGTTGAAGTTAAAATCACATATTCTCTTTTCTATTTTTTTAATATAAAATATCAATCTACCTGACCCTCCAAAGAATTTATTCTCGTTATATCTGTAAGCTTGTGACCACCTGTGTTACATTGCTTATAATTATTCGTCTATTAGATTGTCCTTTTTCGATTTTTTATTTTCTTCCAACAACAATATACGATCAAGCAATATAAGGGAAACCTGTTATTGACCATTTTACTTTTCTGCCGACTTCCAAAAAGGAGCCGGTACTCAATTCGACTGTATGTTTTTTTTTTCGTTTTTTATTTTTTATGTGTGTTACCTCAGAACTTTTTTCTGGGTGAACCGATTTCGATGATTCTTTTTTTATTTGAAAGCTGGTACGTCTCGTGTGGTCCCATATGAATTTGATCAAGGTCAGACCAATAGTTTTTAAGTTATTCTTAAATAACTTATATTGAAGTCGGCTGTACAAAATTTTTAATTTTAAATTATAGTTTGTTACGTTAATGTTAATTACTGTAGACGTTGTTGGTTTTCTAAATAAATTAAAAAAAATGCCCGGGCAATATGAATAATGACTAGTCAAAAGGAGCTACGTAATTAATACTGGTTTTGACTTTCATTGTTAATCACATTTAGTCGGAGAGCTGGCGATACATTTTGAGCACAGTCTGGACCCATTTGTATAGCTCAAAAGTGCCGTTTATGAAAGTTGTATAGGGAATGGCTAGTCTGCCTGGAATGTACAGGTGGCACAGGTCCTGCGCAAGGTAAAAGTAAGGTAAAAAATGTTTGTTTGTTTTCAAACGGTACCGCCAAAATGAGTGATGTAACGAAGAAATTCGATACATTCTGACGTTTTATTACAAAAAAAGGAAAAATGCGACTCAAGCAGCGAAAATAATTTGTGACGTTTATGTACCTATTGCAGTGTTAGTAAGAGTAGCCACAAAGTTGGTTCAAGAATTTTCAGTCCGCGAATTGTGATGTCAAAAATGCAGCTCGCTCTGGACGCCCTTATACGGATAAAGTCGATTCAATTTTTCAAAAAGTGGAGCAAGATCGGCATATTTGTAGCTACGACGTAGCCAAGGAATTGAGGATTAACCACAAAACAGTCATGACTCATTTGAAAAAGTCTGGTTATACAATAAAGCTCGATATTTGGGTACCACACGAGCTTACTGAAAGAAACTTAATGAATCGTACACGATTCGCAAACGACAATCGCAAATGAGTACGTACACTTATTTACAATTCTCTATTGAAAAGTAATGAAACCGAACCATTTTTGTAAAGATTGATCACTGGTGATGAAAAGTGGATCATCTACGCCAAGAACGTGTGAAAAAGATCACGGTCAAAGGGTAGTCAAGCTTCACAGATTGTAGCGAAACCCGGATTAACACGCAGTAAGGTGATGTTGTGTGTATGGTGGGATTGAAAGGTCATCGTCGTTTTGAGGTTGTTACTCGTGAACACTTGCCTTCTTCGGTCAAGCAGTTACCGTTTTAGTTTACTGACCCAAAAGGTAATGCTTAACGCATACAAACCTAATACACGTAATTATAAGTTCCTCCAGACCAAATACGGCCACGGCCGCCAGTCTTACAGAAACTTGGCACCTGCGCAGGACAAGGTTTTAGTTCCCGACAATATACGTAAGCACAGGTGTAGGCTCTCTTTTCCGATTATCATCCCATCGGACTATGAAAGTGAGGGAATAGAGTTGAGACCGGCCGCCGTGACCGATATTCGGTCTGGAGGACATTATTATTATTTGAATCCGTTTCGACCGGATAACTGCCGGGGATTCGGACCTAGTATCACATGGTCTGCAACCGTGTTCACTAAGACCAACGAGACAAACACTGTGTTCACTAAAACAAAAAAACAAAGACCGACAAGCCACTAGTCCCGAGGGTGTTGCAAGATGCGACAAACGGAAACTGAAACAGGAGATTCAGCAGTGTTTTTATAGGTTATAGCTAGCTAGTTATAGCTTTCTTATAGGTAACAACTAGAAAATAGAAAAACTGCGATTGCAGCTCTAATAAATATCCCCTTTATGTGGCAATCTATGGGGAGGGGAAGTGGGGACTATGTTCAGGAGTGAACTTTGACTAGAATAAATTTTACATAGATTAAGAATTTTATATTGTCCAAATTGGAGTGGTTTACAGTAGTACATGCAGAGTAAATCGTAATAGCAGTATTCTAATGTATTAACAAAATATAATCTGTAACGTAATAAGCACGTAGTAAAAGACACGAATAAATTTAGTAAAAATATAAAATTACTATCAGCACTTGTATGGCTGTTACATATAGTTCTTGATTACCTTACAATTTAAATTTAGGTAATTCCAATATACTCTGTATAAGCCAAGTAAACAAATAAATAGACGTATCCCTATGGATATCCTTAACAAACATGTAAGTGTTACGAAAACAATGATGAGGAGATCGCATACAATATAGTAAATGCCCCTACAACTACAATATATTAAAATTGTACCATTTATGGCCCGACTGGTTTTATATAATATTTATATACAGAAACAAAGACAGAATTTTTTTTATTCAATATAGATTATAAATAATACTAATTGAAAGTCTCTCTTTTGTTTAATAACCAGTGGTTCGAAAAAAAAACTCCTGTTCTGGGAAGAACTTTTCGGAAAGCAGGAGCCAAGATGAGCTGGCTCCTTTTGGCAGTAAAGAGTGTGTTTTCTTACCGCGATGCACTCTTCCAAATTTCCACTTTTATTAAGTTATTGAAATATCAAGCCTCTAAGTGCCTATTGCGTGCCCGACCATATGTTTTCATAATACCACTTTAAATCTTAATAAGAAAATCTGTATTATAGTTACAGTTACATTAACAATACTTAAGTGAGCAGTTCTTGATTATATATACATACATATTCAACCGTATAGTGGTGGTTTTTTTTTGCGCGCAGAAGCAATTAAAAAAGGGCTACCCTGTTAACGCTAGGAGGTGGTGAATGCCTTATGCATACCACGACAGCCGGCTGTCGTGGTTATGTGGGACTCACTGTGACTAACCTATCCTACCACCCTAAGTATACCCACTAAACACCACCTGTTTGACTGGCATTGGCTTATTAGGCCTTTCTGCCGAATCGATAGTGGTGGTTTAAGAATATCCACTATCCCATACGTCCCGTAGATGACGTAAGAGGCGACAATGGTTAAATACGAAATAGGCAACAGCATCTTTATGATAAAAATCCAAAATCCTTAAAAAATTGCTGTTTGCAAAACGACTTCCACGCGTGGCATACTATGGCAAAAGCCCTCCTATATTCATCAGTGGATTTTCAGCTGTAATGGATGTGGATATAAACGTTCCAATGGAAAGAAACAGAGAGTTATTAATATAATACCGGTCATCAGTATTTCTATCCATAGAGATGTGACGTTCTCGTCAACCTTCTCTGTTTGGAAATAGTTGCAAGCGCCAATGGGCTGCAGGCGACACTGTAAGGTGAACTGTCGGTTCGTTCGAATTTTATAATAAACGGGTGATTTCTGAATTTCGACAACAGCTCCAGCTACTGAGTCTAATTGAGAATATAAACCATCAAACACACACAACATTTGCATCAGAATCGGTCGAGCCAGTTTCGGGTTTTAGAGAGACTAACGGACAGCTATTGATTTGTATATATAGAGTTGTAATATGTTAAGTATGTTAATAATAATGTGAGTATGGTCGTATTAAATTTTACAAACGTGTTGCAGATAATGATTTTGATGTATGTATGTATGTGATTGTGTGTGTGATTTTGTATTTAATTTAAACAATAGTGACAAGTATTTATCGTAGATTATAAAAACAGTCATAACTAAAGCAATAATTTTCATAAAAAAGCTCAAGTGTAATATGACTAAACATCTTTAGAAATTAGCAATACACCATAATGTTTTTATTTCAGAGGAGGATGAATCCCAGATCTTCGTAAAGTTCTTCAAATTCCACAAATGCTACGACTTGATCCCGACTTCTGCTAAGTTGGTGGTGTTCGACACGCAGCTGCTCGTGAAGAAGGCGTTCTTCGCACTCGTCTACAACGGTCAGTGAATATCAACTAACTACGATGGACATCTCGATTTTAAACTTCTCTCAAAACGTAATTATTTTTTTAATTTTTACCAATGATAAGCGGATTCAATATATTATATTTCGTTAAGAATATTTAACTTTAAAATAAGAATACAATTACATAAATTTATAATATATTAAATAAATATTTAATATATTTATTTATTAATAATATACTCTCTCGCGGTCTCGGTAAGCCCCGAGACGTATATTCTGTTTAAGAGCAAAGTTACAATCAATAACAAAAGTATAATTTAAAACTTAAAATCTTAAGTTCTTAAATGTAGAGTTACAAGATAAACGCAGCCCCAAGGTCGAGACAGCTAATAACACTAAAAATCGGCCAAGTGCAAGTCGGGTCACGCACTATTAGGGTTCCGCACATATTATGATCATTTAACTTTTTTTACTATTTATTTAATTATGTACTGATATTTTGCTGTACTAGTTTTTAGTTAGTATTACATTATGTTCATTTGTTCATGTCACAGCGTACAAACTACATTATGAATCGGTGTTTTCATTCTTTAAATACAGTATATTATGGTAGGTACATAATTTATAGAAATTTCAAATTTATAACTATATAGTTTAGTGTTTGAGAAAGATCCCGCAACGAAAACAGTCTAAAACTCACATCATTGATGGCCTCCCATTTATTTATTTGTGAAGATAAAAAAACATGCATGAGTGTCGTGGAACACTCGGTTGGAACGAATTTCCTTTCGTAGTATATTATTATTGATAAACGTATTATATTATTGAATGACAAATACAAATAAATGAATTACTAGCGTCTATTAAAATAAAGCGTCATTTTTTATGCGCCCAGAAGCAAAGAAAAGGGCTACCCTCCAGGAAGCGGGGGAGGGGAGGTGGGGAATGCTCTAAGCATACCACGCAGTCGGCTGCTTGGTTATGTGGGACTCACTATGAAACCTAAGTGCCTACCCACTAAACACCACCTGGGGCTGGCTTCGGCCTTTAGGGAACGGGGGCGCAGATCAACGGGTCATTTAAAATTATATTTCTTTTATAGTAAGATAAGAAAAAGTGCGAGGGAGATAGATATTATTCCATCTCGCTCGCATTATAGAAAGGGTCGTGACGGAAAAATCTTACACTTATTCTTGCCTAGCCCCCTTCCGCCAAATTCATACCGTGCGACAAGGAACTTCGTTCTAAAAAGGAATAAAAGATGTATTTGTACTTTATCTATGAGATAATTCAATATTCGCATTAGGGCGAACAATTCCAATTATCCAAATTTTAGGCCTGTAACTCATATCTACGTCTTTTAGTTCCGTGACACCGTGACAAACGAAAGAATAGACGGATAGACGGACACCAGAACAGACGGACAGAGAGCAGAGTGACATTAATAAGGCTTCGTTTTACCCTTTTCCTATGGAACCCTAAAAAGGCGTATAAAATAGATCAAGGTTCGACAGTATGAATATTTATATTTTAGATAATATATGTTACAGTCAAAACTCATCATCGGCTTAAACTACTGTTGCCCGATGAAAACAGTCATAATTAGTTTTTAATGAAAAATATTGGTTAAAAAACTTTTGAGTAAGACTGAAGAGATAGTTAAAATTATTTTTGACCAGGAGTATTTAGTAAGAAAACTAAATTTCTATTTCACAATACATTAATTTCCATCATATATGGGATAAAATTAGAATTATAATTATATAAAGTAAATATATTATTATAAAGTAGTATAGACTAAACAAGTTTTTCATAAACATCATTTTCATTGCATCTATTAGTGATGGCGTAACTACTAAACGATTTAAAATATTCACACAATATAATTGTTTTGTCGAGACGATGGTTCAAGTGATGGATGGGATTCGATAAGCGACGCTATAGTTAATGTATGTAATGTTAATACTTACGTGATATATATTTATGGACAAAATTACTCACATTCTCGGTATAATATGTAGATTTAGTGCCATCAAAGAAAATCTCAAAATCTGGAGCCGATATGAGGCGCTGAGGTCGAGCTTATTAATACATTTTATATCCACACTGTGAAAAGTGAATACGGAATAAAACTCATCGGTTAACATTGCTCCTGCTTGAAAAGCTAGTTTCTAAAGTGAAATGTAAAATATTATCAACTTCAATGTTAACATAAACGAGGATTTGTGTGATGTAAATTAATACATTGGCATTAAATAAAACACATCTTTAAACATATGTACATAAAAAATTACATAGTCTTGAAGACTTATGGACTAAGCTCAGTTGAATTTACAGTGTAGGTATATATACGTCTATTTATTCAATTTACCTTATATATTTAAATACTACATTGCTTCTGTTTATGGATGGTAGCTAAGAGCTTGTATTGACTGTAATGCGAATTGTATTTGTGTGTCAAATAATGGATATGCAAAATGCGAAAGAAACTTATCTTTAATCAAACAATAAAGCGGAAAGGCCGTAGCGCAGCGCTGGCGAATTTTGAATTTATGTGAAAAACTGTACTCATATGTCATTCATTTCCTGTTACGTTGGCAGCATATTGATAGTTGACGTCATTGCGTTCTTATATTAACAGAGTTCTTAGAAAGACGATACAACAGTAGCTAGGTGTAGTAATTCAGTATCCGCTCTAGTTTAGCGGACAGAGGCATTTGCCGTGCATGCACAAACAGAAACATATTATGCCCTTGTATTAGTTTCCCGAGCGGTGGCCTCATAAAATGTAATAGCGCTCGCCACGTCACACCGCACACCGCCAGTACCCTAACTATATTTTGACCACTTTTTTTAATAAAAATAAGACGAGTATAATATTTATGTAACTTATGTTATAACTATTCACATACTAGTTATTACATAAATTCTTACATACTTTTGTTATCTTGTGCGAGGACTTTTTTTGGTTAAAAACATTTATTCAAACTAAGCTCCATTCATATTACCTAAAAGGTAATAATTGAATTAAATTTAAAAAAATAAGTTTTAATTAAAGAAATGTTTGTCATTCGATATTATCGGATTAATATGACGTCTATATTTCAAGCGCTTACTGAACCCTATGCTTTCTCTACTCATGTGCTTGTGCTGGCGCGGTGGGCATTGTTTCTTTACGACGAGGTATTACATTACCATTTCGTCGAAGTTTGCAGTTTTGATTGTTGCGATTAATTTAATATCTTCTTCATGTCAGCAATGTATACGAAGGGAAACAAATTAGAATATAAACTAATAAAGACCGCTGTGCGAAGTATTTTCGCGTTTGGCAATGATTTTAAATACCTCAACAGTTGCGTAACTGTGCTGTATTACATTTATTATATCCATTGAAATTAAAACTGTTGTCGTGTTAATAGTTTTATATAATTTTATATAAACCGTATTATATGGATGTGAGAGGGAATATGCCACCTATTCCATCATGCGCCACCCTCACATGCACCCTTCTGATTGACGGAATAGGCTCTGGTGACCAAAGGATAGCAAAAAATCCATTTAATCAGGCCGGGCCCAAATTTTACAGACCAGTAATGGTGAGCAGCTTTACCAGTAGTGAGGGTATCTGCTCTGTCCTTGTCAACCTTTTCTGACCAGCGTGATAAGTAGAGGCAATTCTTTCATGCTTGTCAGCAATAAAATTAGAGAGGCTGGCTGCTGATGTGTGATTAAATCTGTGTGTATCATCCATGTTTTAGGGGTTACTACTACGGTTTGAAAGCTCTCTTGTATGCTAGAACAATGCACTTTATTTTGTTACCTCCAGTAACTATTTTTACCGCGGTGCCTACTCTATTGTTCTGTCAAAATGTATGAAATTTGAATAAGAATTGAAAATATGATAATGTTTAGTACGCAACGGAGTAATTCTGAGAAAGGCAAATAATAAATTACAAAAAAATAAGTACCATAGTGCGTTTTACCGCGTAGCGGTCAAAGAATCCAATCACCATATTTCCTCTAGTGGATATCGTAAAAGTCGATTATGGGATACGCTAAAAGATCTTATGGTTTCTATTAGACGATGGCATAAGAATCTCTTGACGCCACTTGTAAAATATCCAGACCGGCGACTGGAAGCAGCGTTAAAGCTGAGAATCCTGTGATAGCTTGCCAAACGTGACGATTAAGGAAAATCCTTACTTCGACAGGAGAGATAGCAATAAGAGGCATAAAATAGCACTAGAGACACGTATAGTCGTATAGTAACTACATCAGCAGCCCGGGCTTCTACTCTAGGAGCTATTGTTTGTGATTCATCAATGATTCAGTCAGAAAATGTACCAAGGTCAAATGAGCGAATGTTGACAGGCGTGCGTGCTGCGCCTCTATGGGACTCGCAACGGCAGAAATTTGTCGGCATGCTGACGATCACCGATTTCATCAAGATCCTGCAAATGTACTACACCAGTCCTAACATCACCATGGAGGAGCTGGAGGAGCATCGACTTGAGACTTGGCGTCGTGAGTATTTTATTACTTTGTAGCATTTTATCTCTAGAGAGAAAATATTTTTATTTTTACAATATAAAGTTTGCCTCAAAGTGTTTTATTCGTCGTTGAGTAGAGCGTGTGGTCGATTGTCATTTAAAATTGCGACTAACTACTTAGGTTGTGCCTTCGGGAGTCTATCTCGAGTTGCTCACGTACTTCTGAAATTAAACAAGCATCAAGCACCCAGCTTCAAAGCTATCATAGTCTATTCTTAATTCTATATAAGATTAGAAGTGTCGGTTTTAACTTTTTATACAAAAAATAACCTAGTAATATCAAATCTGCTACAATATTAATGACGTTGTGAATAATGACCACATCGACAACTTTCGAATAGACAATTAGAGAAATAATGTTGGGATTTCTATGAAATAATGTATACACAAATGAATGTAAAAAAATAGTTTTTAGTGTAGAGACAATTTTCTTTTCTTTTTCTAAACGTATTAGATAAATATGCATGTATGTAGATGCAAATTTACTTTCTTATTTATTTTGTCACCTTAATATTTTTTGGCAGCAGGTGTGAAGCTAATGACACTACTCATTTATTAACCTTATTGTCTATTATTGTCTTCATATGTTTTCTCATTTCAATAACACATTTGAAAACTACTTATATATTCTCGCAAATAAATGTTTTCTTTAAAAAAAATTAACAGTCGCATTACATAAGTCCTTTTCCCATAACTCGGCACAGGTATCTTATTTCTGTAAGCATTATCGGAACAGAAAAGTATTCGTTGCGTTTAACGGACATCAATACAAAGCATTAAGACGTCACAAGCTCCCGAGATAATATTTTCCCTGCATTTTTATTTTGTGAGAACGTGGCAGCACTTGAAATGATGATTAACAAGTTTAATATTTACGATGGCGATCGAATGTTCGTTTCCTCTGTGTAGTGGCGGGTAAGAATACTCACTACCCCATATCTTCCCGTGGGTGTCGTAAAAGGCGACAGAGGGAAACTGAGGCAGAAGATGGGCAGCAGCATCTTTCTGATAACAGCAAAAAGCATTAAAAAACTGCGGTTGCTAAGCGTGGCAACTATGGCAATAAACCCCCCATGGGCAATGGCATTAATAAACGGCCCCCAGTCCCCGGCGGCTCCGCTATTCCTGGCTACGGTGGCGATCATGGTAACGGTGGGGCAGGGGGTGCTAAGAATCTCCGGTGGAGGTTTAGTTGCCACCTACGACGCCTTGACCTGGCAACTTATAACGCACGCACCCTGAGTACTGACGAGAAGATACTGGAGCTGGAAGAAGAGATAGACAAGTTGCGCTGGAATATTATAGGACTATCCGAAGTCCGCAGAGAGGGTGAGGACACGGTAATTCCCGAATCCGGCAACTTGTTCTATCACCGGGAGGGCGATCATCTGTCCCAAGGAGGTGTCGGATTTATCGTCCACAAGTCTCTCATTAACAACGTTGTAAAGATTGGCAGTGTGTCGACGAGGACTGCGTACCTTATACTAGAATTACTAAATGGTATTCGCTGAAGGTCATACAGGTTTCTGCACCGACCTCGGCACATCCCGATGAGGAGGTGGAGGAAATGTATGAGGATATCTCTAGAGCCATGCATTCCTCCAAAACCAACTATACGGTGTTAATGGGAGACATCAACGCAAAACTAGGCACAAGAGAGAACGGTGAGCTGAAAGTAGGGAAATTCGAAATAGGGCAACGGAACCCAAGGCGCCAGCAGTTGGCCGACTTCATGGAGAAAGAGGGACTCTTTATGATGAACTCTTTCTTCCAGAATCGGCCCTACAGGAAGTGGACCTGGTCGAGCCCCCGACGGTTCGACAATAAATAAGATTGACTTCATTATGACGACCAGACGACAGCTGTTCAGTATGTCTCAGTGATCGTGAGGGTCAAAACTGGAAGCGATCAGCGAATGTTTAGAGGCACACTAAACCTAAAGGTTAAGTTGGAGAGGTCACGTTTAATGAACTCAACGCTCCGTCCCCCTCGTGCTCTAATCCAAAGTCCCGAAACCTTTCAGATCGAGTTACAAAATCGTTTTCAGTGCCTAGAAGATTGCAATGTAGTGGACGATATAAATGACAAGCTCGTGAAAACTGTCCATGCGGGTGGAGCTAATTTTTGCAAGACCCCCGCAGAAGAACACAAAACCTCTCCGATCACACTCTTAATCTCATGCCTGTTAGACGGGAAATGAAGGTGCAGTCTTCAGTAGATTTGACAGCATACAGGCAACTGAACAGACAGATCTCCAAACGCATGCGGCGGGACTTACGCAACTTTAATACCGCTGGTATTGAAGAAGCGATCGAACGGAACCAGTGCTCCAAAGTCTTTGCCAGAGATCTGTCTGCCAGAAAGTGCCAACTCTCGAAGCTGAAATCCGAACGTGGCAGCATCGTTTCCGAGACACCTGAGGGCTTTAGCACCATAGACCACATACATACCCTTCGGCAAATTGTACAGAACACCGAAGAGTACAATCTGCCACTTTGTCTTGCGTATGTGGACTATGAGAAAGCCTTTGATTCCGTCGAAATTTGGGCGGTGCTGCAGTTCCTCCAGCGGTGCCAAGTGGACTGTCGGTATATCGAAGTGCTAAAGTGTTTGTACAAAACCAGAGTACGAAACCTATCCAACTGCAGATAGATGTAAGACAGGGTGACGTAATATATCCGAAACTCTTCACCGCTGCATTGGAAGACGTTTTCAAGCTACTGGACTGGAAAGGACCTGTAATGTATATAAAAATATATAAAAAATAGTACATCATTCACCTTCGATTTGCCGACGATATAGTCCTTATAGCAGAATCGCTGGAGGACCTAAGTACTGTGCTCAATCACCTCAATAGTGTCTCCCAACGGATAGGTCTTAAGCTGAACATGGACAAAACAAAAATCATGTTTAACGTCCATGTCACACCTATGCCGGTAGTTGTTGGGAGCACTAAGCTCGAAGTTGTTGACGAATATGTTTACCTGGGACAAAAAGTCTAACTTCGACCGAGAAGTCAATCGACGGATTCAACTCGGCGGGGCAGCGTTCGGGAGATTACGACATATCTTCTCGTTAGACATACCTCAGAACCTCAAAACTAGATTGTTCAACCAGTACGTGTTGCCAGTGGTGACCTACGGATCTGAGACGTGGTCCTTCACTGCTGGCCGTATGCGGAAGCTCAAAGTCGCTCAGCGAGCTATGGAAAGGGCAATGCTCGGCGTTTCTCTGCGTAATAAACTTAGAAATGAGTATATCCGCAGTAGAACCAGAGTAACCGACATAGCGCAACGGATTAGTAAGCTGAAGTGGCAATGGGCCGTACATATAGTTTGAAGAACCGACAACCGATGGGGAAGAAAGGTTTTCGAATGGCAGCCTCGTACCGGCAGGCGATGTGTAGGGCGTCTCCCCACTAGATGAAGTGACGACCTGGTAAGACATGCAGGAAGTCGATGGATGCAGGTGGCTCAGGGCCGTGCTTTGTGGCATTCCTTGGGGGAGGCCTAGGTTCAGCAGCGGACTTGTGAAGGGCTGTAATGATGAATGATGACTAACCTACATAACCAGAAAATGAAATACAATAATTTTTAAATATTTTTATCGCAAAAGTAATTTGAGATGCCGATACAGACCATTCTTAAAAAAATTAACCTCCTGCAGCAAATAATCAACCCATAAATAGTCTTCTGCGGTTAGGGTTACCGGTAGGATAATAGAAAAGTCCTAACAAATAATAAATAACCTGGTTACCATAGAAAATACCTACCAATTAGTTATTGCTTTTGTCCACTCTCGCGATCAATCCACGTTGCAGATTACATTCCTCCCACACAAAAGCCGTTACTGTATTTTATTGAAAAATCGAAAAGGCGTCAGTCAGGCCTTTTCCATAATCTGACCGCAATACTGACAAGAGCCCAAAAGTCCTGATATGTCAAGACAAATCCTGACATATGATATCTCTAGCTGCGGTGAGGTTTGGCAGTGAAATGGAAATAGGATATTATTAATTACTGACGTTTCGTAATGACGTAAACGAAATTTAATGTTTTGTATATTTTTCAGAGGTGCTGAAAGGCTCAGTTGTGCCGTTAGTTTCAATTGGGCCAGATTCGTCATTGTACGACGCAATAAGAATGCTTATTATTAACCGGATACATCGGCTGCCGGTCATTGACCCCGAAACTGGCAACGTACTATATATCCTTACACATAAGAGGATTCTTCGCTTCCTCTTTTTATATGTAAGTCGCTTGCTGCCATATATTTTGGTATTTAAAAATTCTATGTATAATATTTTTATCTAATTCTATGTAAAATTGCTATATAATAGCGCCATCTACATCATTCTATTGGTTATTAAGTGGCGAAGCTGGCGAAGTCACTTATTGATTTCACGATGTCTGTCCGTCTGTCCTTCTGTCCGTCTGTCCGTCTGTCCGTCTGTCCGTCTGTCCGTCTGTCCGTCTGTCAGTCTGTCCCACGATTATCTCGAGAACGGTTTTGAATTTTCAAATTCTGTTTTCAGCAATCGATTACTGATCACCCAGGCATCTGACCTCCTATTTTGAAACTGATTGCTCAACGGCAACCGTTAGAAACCGCTACAAAGCTGATTGCTTCGCCACTTTGCTATGCTGTTAGCTTGCTAGGTTTATTTGCTATCGCGAATTATTTGATATAAGTTCGTAATAGTCATAAAATGACGAATGGTAATATGAGAATTTAATATGTATTATAACAGATGAAAAATGTTTATTATTATTTTATTATAAAACGTATATAAAAATATTTTGCAATATTTATTGCTTAAAATTTTTCAGATCAATGAGCTGCCAAAGCCGTCTTATCTTCAGTGCAAGCTACGCGACCTACGTATTGGCACTCTAAACGACATCGAGACGGCCACTGAAGACACTTTGATTATTGATGCACTTCGTAAGTTCGTAAATAGGAGGGTGTCGGCACTGCCACTGATTGACACTGAAGGTCGTCTCAAGGATATATATGCAAAATTTGATGTCATAGTAAGTTATGCTTCATTGTTAATTATGAAAGCTTGGCGTGCTCAGCAGAGCGGGACAGTATTTCATGCCGGCACACCGCCTGCAACTTTACAAGGCGCAGGTTCGGCCTCACATGGAATACTGTTCCCATCTCTGGGCAGGGGCTCCCCAGTGCCAGCTCCTTCAACTTGACCGCATCCAGCGCAGAGCGGCTCGAATCGTCGACGACCGAGCCCTTTCCGATCGGCTCGATTCATTGGCACTGCGAAGAGATGTTGCATCTCTTTGCATTTTCTTTCGCATCTACCATGGGGAGTGCTCTGAGGAATTGTTCGGATTAATCCCAGCCGCCAAATTTCACGAACGCACATCGCGGCAGAACTCCCGATACCATCCACACCATCTGGATGATTGGCGGTCCACCACTGTGCGATTTAGAAGATGTTTTCTTCCTCGCACAACTTCCTTGTGGAATAGTTTACCACCAGGGATTTTTCCGGACCGATACGACTTAGGGACCTTCAAGAAAAGAGCCTACTCCTTTTTAAAAGGCCGGCAACGCATCTGCAATTCCCCTGGTGTTGCGGTTGTTCATGGGCGGCGGTAGTCACTTACCATCAGGTGAGCCGCATGCTCGTTTGCCCCCTCTCCTATAATAAAAAAAATAAAAAAAAAAATGTATATTTTTTGCATTTAGGCTTTTCGACTTGACATTTGTAGACAAAATTTCGCTGTGCAGTTGCAAACTTGTCGCAATCGGTTGATTAAACCGCGGGAAGTGAGAGATTAATAAAAGACACTTTTGGATTGAGGGCGGCGACAACGTGTGACAACAGATTTACACAGAGTTAAGATAAGCGTTATTTTATGTCCCATGATGTATAAAATCGACTAAAGATATCTTTTGACATTTATAAGCACCTTCAGAAATCGAGTCGACGGGAAAAGTTATTAGTTATTAATTCGACAGTATTTTTATTGCTTATAAGAAAATATCTACGAGGTCCGATGCTCGGCATAAGCCTCTCCCACACTGGAGATACTCGACCGTAACTGTCAATCCTAGCTAGCATACAGATTGGCATGAGACGTTTCGCAACATTGGCGCTTCATGCCGTCGACGTTAAATCTGGTATTGGAAATATTTTTATTTCTACCTATTAGATCACAAGATATTTTAGTTCTTAGACTTCAGCTTAATCACATCTTACGAAATTAGGATTAAATGGGAATCTCATATGCTGTCATCACTCATACCTCCTAGGTTATTTTACCACGATTAAAATTCTCATTGGTGAAACCACTACTTAAAAAGGATAAAAAGACATTCGTAAGCTACCGGCCCATTACGCTGGTCCCTATCTTATCCAAAGTCTATGAGGAGGTTATGTATGAAAAACTTACATTGCTTTTAAAAAAATATCATATACTAAAACACAATCAATATGTATTTCGGAAAAACAAATGAACTACACATGCATTGGGTCTAACACTTGCCTATTAGGAAAGTGTTAAGCTGAGATCTATAGATTGTACTTTGACTTTGCTAAGACTTAGCTTACGATAAACTTAGCTGAGTATATGCTCAGCATAATCTTTGATTCTGAATTTATAGTTGTATCGGGCTAAGATTAAGCTAAGCTTTTGCTAAGGCCCAGACAGTCCAAATATTAATGGATGCTTCATTCGACGCATTATGTTTTTGACCATTGCCATTGGTGGTTATAATACAAATTCACTTTTCACTTTTAAAAAACAATTTAAATCGACGTATTCTCAAAAGCGATTTTTATATTTTCTCCAAAAATACGACAGTACCGTTATTTGCATTATCAGAGTGATTTCCGTATACCATGTTTAGTTTTTTGTCTCTCTATTACCATATTTAATTCTTTTATTAAACACAATATCTAAAAAAAAGGGTCAAATACAATAAATGTATGAATAATAAGTTGATTGATTATACAATAAAAATTAGTTGTACAATTACTTACAAAACTCATATAACAGCTTGGAAGCGATACACTCATTCCTGATCCTTCGCAGGACGGAGGTTTTTTCAAACCAGTAATAAAAGTAAAAAATGGCTTTCAATAAGAATATGTATTACTTATAAAATTGGAATAAATATCATATAAAAAAATTATTGAGATCATTTATAAAGGATTAAGTACTCAAACTCACTTTATAATTTTCTGTTTGTCGTGTTTTATTGAGACTATTTTGATGTCATTGTGTAAGACAAATATAAAAACAGATCTCCTAATTCCTATTCATCATCATTCATCATTGCCCTTCAGAAATCCCCTGCTGAAAATAGACTTTCCAATTGAGGTTTTTGGTCCTTTTTTATTTATGGGAATTATATTTGCTGTTTTCCATAAATCGGGGAAAATACATTAATTGAGAGAACGACGAAACAGAATAGCAATAGGCAATGACAAGCTATCTGCACATGAAACGATTACGACCACATTTAACTTCTAGCGGCGAATGCTACGATTGTCCTGCACGGTTATCTATACTCGTATTACTATAATAAGACTAACACGACTTCTGTCTGAACTCGCATCACGCAAAAACTTGTGAACCGTTTTGGATGGGACTTTCACTGGCAGATTGCTGATGTTATAAGGAGTAACTTAAGCCACTTTTATTTTAGGTAATGAATTAGGTTCCGCGCAAACAAGTTAAAACCCGTGAAATCCAATCGCAATAAATGTATAATATGTATATATTTCCTTTACAACCGATACAAGGTAAACACTTAAAATTACAATTAAGAATTTCCTTAATGTCTGTGCCTAATTCGGTTTACCCGCGTTTTATGATGTTATACGGCATACGCGTAGGCAATATCAAAATTAGTGCATTGGTTTAACGTTAATAATATATAAACTAAATGTATAAAATTTACAACACCGAATGTTAAAAATCTGAAAACCAATGTGGTTTTAAATAGAGTATAATCTGAGCCCTGTTGAATCCACTGTTTTCTTGGCATCACTCACGACACAAAGCTTCAGTTGGGCCCCCATTTATCTAAACTAGCGAACAGGCAGCCCCGCAGCTTATGCTATAAAAAAGATCAGAAGTCTCACTAGCGTCGCGACAGCTAGATGTCATCAAAAACATAACTTGTAAAAAATACCAAGTCTCGCAACTCAGTTCTTCTACCGTAAAAACTTGTGAGATCCATCTAAAACCAGGTCGGTTAATTTATTCAGTCCCTATTTAAGGGTCCTTATGTCTCAAGTTATTACGTAATTAGTTAACCTAACAACATACTATAGTGACCATATCAAAATTAAAAATGTTTTATGTTTTAAATACATAGATTGACTTGACCATCGCATGAAAATACAAAGTATCTCGCATGTAATTTATATTAAATTAGATTGTTTAGTGAGTGACAAAATTAAGAAACTTTGACTAGTTTAGTTTTAGTTTGTACGTGGTAGAGCGATGCTGCAGCTATATTAGTAGTATAGTTGTAGCACGAATGGGTAGGCTCGACCGGGGATGGACCACGCTCTCACAGAATACCAGCGTAAAATGGCAGCTTAACACTGCTATGTTTCGTATGGTGAGTGTAGAGAACCGGATATCCATTTTCCTGGCAAAGAGGCATTCCATCTTAGTCCTCAAAGGTGATGACGCATCTGCATTTTGATTCTTTATTGAGGATACATGTAGATGTCTATGGGTCACAGCAACCACTTATGATCAGCTGAACTGTGTGTTCGTTTGTCATCATCTCCTATAAAAAAAATGTTATAATTCTTAAACTACTGGTTCAAATTGAATGAAATTTGAAATATACCGTGTTTACACAATGCATTTTTGGTTACTGAAAATTTTCGGGTCGAAAAACGCCTGAACTGCTTCGAGAAAAGGATGGTACGGTCGTTCCGCTTTTTGCTCGACTTGGCGGAGGCACTGCTGTGCCCCCAGATTAGTTTATTTCAGTTATTTCCATAGCATAATGTCAGGAATGTAAGGAAATGTGGCTATATTATAAACTGTTTTTGTTTTGTTGAAGAGGCCTATAATAGCTATTTACAACATAAAACCGAAAGGGTCTCTCAGAGAAAAACTTAATGTAAAAAAGTATTAACTGTGGCCTCAGTGTATTTACGAAAATTTAATCTATGTTCACAAAAACAAAATTAGTTTTAATAAAAAAAAGTGATGCTACTTGATGATGTATGTATGTATACGCTATTACAACCAAGTCCCAGAAAATATACAAGGTCTCTATTGTCAAGTTTAAATATTTTATTAAACAAAAACTGTATAGAAAGGGTTATTATAATATAATGATAATTCTTATTATTATTAAATATATGGTTGATAATAAGTCCTGGAAATGAGGTGGTCGCTTCCAAGCTGTTTCCAAAATAAAATTTGTAAATAGTTTGTACCAGCTTTCATGTAAAATTTACTTTAAAGAAGCTTCCTCTGGGTGTCTTGCTGGTTCTTGCCTGTGCCGAGATTTTTTTTGAACCAGCGGTAAAAGTAAAAATGACTTTCAATAAGAATTACTTGTAATCTATATTGAATAAAAAAATATTCCATTCTATCCCTAAGATTCCACGGACCTTAATCCTACCCCTTCCATTTTGCTGCCAAATTGCATTTGTTGAGCCATACATTGCATTTAATAAGTCATATTAACCTCCTCTCACCACTTTTGTGCAGGTGATCTACAACTATATACACAATCATTATCCAGTGAGGTTAATAATAATATGTCTGTGTAAATGTGTTTCTTAATAGACTCAACGGGTCCAATAGGTTTCCATTTTTGTTACCCTTCAAAATGCTAGTCAGTAATTGGCTAATGAAAGGCTGTGTAAACATGACATCATTTTTGTTCCTCAAATCATTTTTATTGGTTTAATTTTTCCCTATATTTTAACTAAAAACCTTATGATAAATAGCTAGTGATGCTCTCATTTCGACATTGTATTTGATCTACGCGCACTCCCGTATATCATAAAACTAAATTTTCTTTGTTTCGTGGTGGTCAAGACTTTTACTTCGTCGTTCCGAGTATAATCTTTCGGCACTAGTTGTTATGTGGTTTCATGTCTAACTTTTGAAGGTCTTGTACTGCGGCTTTGGAACGGCCTCACAACTTTCTATCGTAATCTCTTATATAAAGGCGTTAATCGTTGATATTTTCTCAACACTTCTTGTTCAATCCTCTGTACATATAATATGTTATTGGTTTTTTATCAATTATTATTGGTTACTTAGTTGTTTCTCACTTTGATATAATTGGTTATTTGGTTGTTTCTTACTTTGACATTACTCTTTTTTTAGTTAGTGTTTTTGTTTTGTTTTCGCAAATTATCAGCTGTGTTTTTATTCAATTTTAGAATTTGGCTGCGGAAAAAACCTATAACAACCTGGACGTATCGCTAAAGAAAGCCAACGAACATCGAAACGAATGGTTCGAGGGCGTCCAAAAATGTAATCTGGATGAAACCCTCTACGAAGTCATGGAAAGGATAGTGAGAGCTGAGGTAATTTATATGTTTTGTTTATAACATTTTAATTTTGTCTACGTTTAGCAAGGCCAGCGAAATGTGATAAAGATTGAAAACTGTCAGGAGTTCGCACATGTATTATATCGGCGACTTTTATTAATTACCGAAGTATAAAATGTCTATAATATTCTGAAATTCGACTGATTGTACTATTTATTAAAACTAACTTTAGTTTTTATAACATTAACGAAATTATGTACTTCACAAAAACTTCAAATTGAAATAAATAATTGAACTAAAGTACATGCCTACTGTCTCGTTTGGATATTAAGAAAAAAATACTTTAGTAGCTTTTAAATCGTAAAGTTTAACTGTAAGAAAGTGTAAACTGTTGTGTGCGTATACAGTGTTCCTTGTTCTATTTTGTGTGAATACTTTCGCCGCGGCGACGAAGTTCCGCCCGTTATTACAAAATATATAGTTTATAATTTATTAGACAAGTAAAGATAATTTTAATGGGCAGGTGAAAAAGATATTCAAAAATAAAAGTTTCTAAACTGTAATTGAAATATAATGCGTAACATATATCAATAGTGATTTCTCTGTCTAGCGTATAGCGCTGTCTCTGTTTTGCTTATTTTGCCCGACGTTTGCATCGGCTCTATAGAGACTTGACCCCCCGTGCAAGTAAATCGTTGCAACCCTATAATTCGCCTACTTTTGCTAAGGTAGTCCAATAAAATCGTGTTCACAATTTCATTTTGATAGGTAACATTTTCGTATAATTCTACAAGAACCTCGAAGAGGTCAATTACATAAACACGCTTACGTGCTTCTATCTTTAATTATTGCCGGGAAAAGGGTAGACAACATACTTTGGCGTTTTATTTATATCGTTTTATCTACTCTTCATTTGTGTTAAATTTTCTTAAGAACATGACAGTAAGTCACTGTAAAAAAAAACAAATATTTTTTAATAAAAATATAAGTAGCTGTTCCGGGATATAAGATGGCGTTTTGTTTATTTAGACATACTAGTGGTCGCCTAGTGGTCGAATTCAACCATGATTCATTAAACTTTTACTTTTGTGTGTTTTTAAGCAAGTTGTATTTCACTTTCAACTGCACATTAATGTATAAATAAAATTAATTTAAAAATAATTCATTATTACAATATCAATATTGCGTCGGATTTAGAGTTTTGTCGCAAAATATTCTGGATTTTGACATCGTTTGTCGGTAATGAGGCAGGTTTATTATATTTTTCATTTTATTTAATTTTTCTTAGATACCTTAGAATTTTTAATTTTATTTCTTGCTTTATTACTGTGTTTTAGAAGTCAGTTCTCTGTTATTTTTTGTTTATTCCTAAATGTATTATGTGGAAGCCTGTTTCTGGCAGATAAATCCTTTTCTTTCTTTATAACATATAAAATAAACACTCCTTTTCCCGTGACGTACATTCCACACACTATTCAAAAAGGAACATTTGAAGTCACACAAAATTTACATCTTATTCAATCAATCTATCAGTAGTGTTGCCAACATTTTAAAATTCTTTGACGACTATCTCTACCCTGTGCGACTATTTGACCACAGACTATTAAGTGTTTGACATTGGCCTTACAGTAGTAACATTTTATCAAATATTTATTTTATGAGTATTAATATCATCAGTATGCCTATTTCAACCTTTTTTTTCCAGATATAAACAAACAGCGAGTTTGTATACCATTTTTAAGATGCAAGTCCGAACTTTTCATCTGTACGTGCTACTATATGCCTAAATTACAATTATTTTTCACGTTTCCTTTTGTTATGTGTAGGTACATCGTTTGGTTGTAGTGGATGAAGAAGACAAAGTGATAGGCATAATATCGTTATCGGACCTACTGATGTATCTCGTACTGCGCCCAACTGGCGAGTGCGAAGGAGCAAGTCTTCGCAACGAGCACGCCTCCATTGAAGAGAAAGACGAAAGCCCCAGCACCGCCGCAAAGGATGACGGAATGGCTGACGAGCTTCAGGAACAACAAAACGACGCTTTGGAAGCAAAAGGGGAAGTTGATTCTCAAGATCATTAAAGCCAATGTGATTCCCCTGCATGAATGTAGGATTTAGGTTAAGAAATAGTTTGTTAAAAATTTATACGTGACGAATTAACCGCGTTCAGGTATAAACCTTTGTAGTAGGATTCGTTATTTTGATACTTCTCTTTCGTTAAGTAATATACCTAAATGTGCTATATATAACGCCTCTTTTAATATATAAATTCAAATAAATAAACTTTTAATAGCAGATACCTTTATTGATTTAGAAATTCTTTTGTAGTGCTTATAACTTTGTACCTTAAAACTTTTTGACGTTAGAGGAAGGATTTATGTATCTAGTACTTTATGATAAAAATAAATGTTTTTGCTACATGTTTGAAACTATAGCACTGTAAGTTTTCGAATATTATTATATGACTAATAACCTGCAAATAAAATGTGGTTTTATCAGCTTATAATACTTTATATTCAGAAGTAAATATTGCTTAAATATGTATACGATTGTAATGACCCTGGAAATTTCAAGATTTTGTCTAGTGTGGAGCGGTGTAAAAATGTGTTGACATATTTTATTAATTTAACGGTTGTGAAGCACGGTCAAACACTTCTTATGAACACAGATATGTTGACTATACCATTTTTTTGATAAGATTGATTGAAGTTTTAGATTTTCTATTTTTATTACTTTATGACATTATGACTTCTTACATGCTTTTTTAATTTATAATATTTTCCCATTACAGTTGTCCTTTGTAATTCATAATTGCCAATTTCCAATTAATTTTACATTCAAATATAAAATTAATTAGAAATTGGCAATTATGAATTTATCGTCGGTAATAAATGTTTAAATGTCCCTTGATTCATTAATATAATTACAGCCTTAAAACAGCAATATTTATTTTAACTTGTTGATTAATTTTGTAGAAATTCGAATTGAAATATAAACTAGCATATTTACCTTTAAATTCATAGTTACGTGATTTTTTTAGTAATGTCACATTTATACGGGAAATAATATTTCCAAGATGTTTTACATTATATAATTTGTAGAAATAATGTGTAGTAAGAAAATCATAACAAATTTTGTTAGGGTACTTACATAAAGAAACAGGTTTCCGGTACAGATAAATCTGTACTGGTCGGTACCGATCGGTGTAGGGTTAACCTACATAAAGAAACAGGTAAACCTGGCCTTATTGACAACCTTGTCCTCCAGTTCGTCGGACGACGATTTTTTTACTTCTGGAAATTGTTTATTTTAAATGTAGAAAGAAAAGAACAGTTAGTGTTTCCAATATTAACAGCAAAAGAAATAAATATGGGTCATATTATCACTTATTTATAAAAGACATACAGTTTGATGAACACAAGTTACATTATACCAGGATGGCACGAGAAACATTTAACTACATGTTAAATAAAATAGAACATCGCTTAGTTAAAAGATGGTGTAACTGGCATGTTCAACCCATTTCACCCGAAGAAACACTGCTGCGCTTATCGCGAGCGAGAAAAACGGTGGAATGTGCATTTGGTAGATTATATATAATGTGGTGTTTGTTATCTAAAAGCATTGAAACTAATATTGAACTAGCTGACAAAATCGTGAAAACTGTGTGTTTGTTGCATAATATAATTACTGATAAAGGGGGTATTGAGAGAAACTTGGCTCCTATAAATCTTTTACGGCGAAGATGGCTCAACCAAAGACTGGGCCCACTGTAACTACAAACGTCAGAAATAATTTTATTCAATATTTCAGACATAATCACTTGTACAATACCTAATTATTATTAAAAACTAAATATGCAAATAAATCTATTTTTTATTATAGGTATTTACCATCCTGTTTCATTTCCAAACTAATCTCTTTACAACAATTATCGGTGAGATTTCTGTTGCTATGGAACTTATTTCTTTTGTCCCATAAAGGTTGTTTATTAAATACCAAGGCTATCAAAACTTCCGTTATCCACATCGATTTTCATAAACATATACACCCTACACCGGCAAACGCTTAAACCCGTATGGCTCGGTGCAGGTTGTCGGTACCGACAAGTTTAAAACTGTTTCTTTATATGTGACCGCATTAGATAACATAGAAATAGTATACCTGCAACGATCGGTACCGACCAATACAGATTTGTCTGTACCGGAAACCTGTTTCTTTATGTAAGCACCCTTATGCCATTTTTATTTCGTTATATTGCTGCCTCAACATAGTTTTTTTAACTATTGATATATTTGAAATACTTATGCAAATCTATTGAAAAGGTATGTGTGCAAGTTATCTTAAAAGAAAATAATATTCCGCGTCAGTCGTGATATAAAAAACCAAGTCTATATATATATTTTGTACAAACCTAACTCCGCACAGTTTTTCATGGTATAACTGTAAATCACGTATTTTTCTAATGTGTATTTTTATTATTCATGTTTTATACGAGAACGAAAAGAGTTGTATCGGTTTATTTGAATAATTTACGGTATTTAATGCGTTTCGTAGAACTAAAGTGAGAAGTGAGCCATTTTTTAACGCGAATCAAACGCGTTTAAATTATGTGTACAGGCGAAGTGGATACAACGTGATACTTGGGACTATACATTGCGTGTTGACGATTTCACAATCCGTTTACGACTGTACTTTCTGTATGTTTCTTGGTATTTTCTAGCAGTATGTCGATTTCTTTCCAACAATTGGGTTTTTCAATCGTTTTCAGTTGTCTTGATATTATTGAACGGGGCTTTGTTTGGGGCTTGTTTGCTCTTTACTCGAGATGATGTGGTTCTTCTGGTTGTATATCCAATTATTGACATTAATTTGACGTTAAAAGGTTTGTGTTTGATTTTTTACCCCAGAACTACCGATAAAACGACATAAAATTTACACGGATTTATATTAGCCCTGGGACCAATATAGATTTTTTTCATGGTAATATTTTGAACGCTTCCAAAGTTATAGCTAGTTTCTAATATTGTCGATGTGAATTAGTAAAAACTTTATTATTTAATTCTTAATATTCGTAAATAATTATAACGCTAAAATAACCATAGACAACTCTCATTCGACTCAGATCTATCCATCATCATAATGTAGGATATTCTGTTAGTAATTAGAGCTTTAAAAAAAATTCACTGGACAATAACTACTATAATGCTCGGGAGGAGCGTAAATTTGAAATTTATTTGTGATTTATATTTAAAGTAATTTTTAGAAACTGTTTATAATAATTGATACAAGTATGTATGTTGGAACGAAATGGACATTAAGCTGTCAATGATAAGAGACTTCGCGCTCTCCGATGCTCATATTGTATGATGCAAGTATTATGAAAATGTGTTATTAATTTATGAGTTATGATTAGTGATGTAATAATGATAATATCTGTTATAAATATGTTGTATTAATCAACCCAATAACATTTTGTAGTGTCTATAAAAAGTAATTAAATATTATAGAGAAAATTTTTTTTCGTAAAATTTTGTGATTTTATAACGCCTTTATCGCAAACAGAGAAGACCAGTTTCGATATTCGCAATTAAACAAAGCGCACATTTGGTATGATAAAGACGCAATAAAAATTTGGTTCGATTTTGACTTTTTATTCTTCCCTCATTCATCGGCAAATAAATTAATGCATAGAGCAACACGGAAGGGAGTAGCCATACGCAGGCATTCTCCTCTGTCAAAGTATAAGTCCACGCGGTCCTATGCGTAGGTACAATAAAACTAGGTAGTTAGAGCCGCACTGCTCACTAGACCAAATTTAGTTTCGCGACTGAATCGACAAAAATGCCGAATTGTTTGCTGCAAAGAGATTTGCCATGTTAAATTGTGTGTGAGAGGACTGAAAGACCATGCCGGAAATTCACGAAATAAATTCCTAAGGATTTAGTAGTAGGCCAAAACAATTTTAACATTAATCTTGGAATTTGATAAAGAATATAAAAAAGTTACAGCCCTTAAAGTGGACTATATACACTAAGGGCTGTAACACACTCAGATCACACAGTCTGTTAGTCAGATCTCGGAAAGTAATGAAGTTAATGTGATGACAGATATTTAGTAAAGAATTTGTAAATCTTATTTTACTAAGTAGCAAGACAAAGTGTTAAATATAAAAGAAACAAATATCTAAACTGACCCTGGTTTGAGGATTAATAGCGCGGTACCTCGGCTTAGCACAAGTACATAAGCCTACGCCAAGCCGTATCCGACCCCAAACTTAAACTAAAGTGATTTACACATTGTCAGTACAGCGCTGTCAAGCCAGTGCCGAGTGCCGACTAATATTCCTACTTGAATATTTTGATGTCAGTCCACTCCTCCCGCCACCTGCGCCAGCGGTATTGACCCTGTCTAAACGACCAAGACCAAGTTAGAACTTGGTCAGTCACTGGCGCTGCCTTGTAGGGTGACGTCACGTCAAAAACAAAGCAAAACTTCTAGTTTCTTTTCTGTCGTCTATCCATTTTGTTATCCAGTCGTTTTTTAGTCGTCGCCCGGAGCCTTAAGTCCTTTGATGAGGGATGAGATCTCATCATTGGATACAGTGATAGGATCAGAGGCTGTGGGGGGCGAGTTCCGGCGGCGGACCTCATCCTCCACTATCTGGATGTGGGAGGAGTCGGTGGGTTGAGAGCTAGGAGAGCATTGTGCGGCTGTGCTGTCTGCAAAGCACTCAGCCTTTTCCTCGTCCTCGAAGGCAACCGTACCGTCGGGACGGGAGAGAGGGGGAGTGTGGGTGATAGCGTCTATGCGGAGGGCTCTTGCCATCTGATAGTACGCTGTATGAGAGGGAGAGATATTCTGCATGAGCTTACTCTTTTCGAGGTCTTGAAGTTCGAAGAGGCGGAAACGGACTTCTCGTTGAAGACGATTGGCCGGCCTATATTCGGGGGTGGGATAGATTGCTGCTCTCCGTAAAGCAGCTCTCTTGGCTTTCAATAGGTTGCTAATATGTAGGGGAAGACTATCATTATTAGCAACCGGGATGACCCTTTCGTTCTCCTTAAGGGAGGATTTTATA